CTCAAAAAGTAAAGTCACTAGCAGGAAATATCAAATGAAACCTATAGCTAAAGGAAGTCCATTGAAATGGGAAAACATAGAAGAAATGTTAAGCTGACCATTGAAGCTATTTGTAATAAGCTGTCATGTATCACTAGAGGTGAACATCAGATGGAAGATGTAGATGAAGGTAGATTAAAACAACTTTGTGGCAGCATGGGAAGAAGCCAAAATGGCCTGGGGAAAGGAGAGAAGTGAGAATAGGACTAGAACGCTGAGGTCATAGAGACTGGGAAAGCTGCAGGTATCAATCTTCTTGATTGCTGCCTTTGCTGGGGGATAGTTCACTGCTGAAGAAAAGTCAGGTTTAAGTGAGACTGACAGGGAACAGGAAACAAATAGATGTCAATAGTGCAGAGTCTATGAAAGAGGAGACTTTAAAAAATGAGTAGGGATAATTGAGAGCTGGGGAAAAAAGCAAAAAGAAACAAGAGAAAAATTATGAGCAGCAAGAACAAAAGGAGAATGTAGCATGTGGGAGAAAGAAAAGTACCTCCCCTGTTTAGAAAGACTACAGAATTACCTAAGAAAGGCAGAACCCACCTCACAGATTTACATTTTTGCATTCAACCACTTCTTGTCATGTAAATCGATGGTGCTGATGCTAATAGTCATAATTTTATAGCACATAATGTCTTCTCAGTTCAAGTTGCTGGGATAAAGCCATTTTGAAAATATCAGTTTCCTGTTTTGAACTGTGAATTTTGGGATCTGTTTTTTGTAGGAAATGGTCTGAAAATTGAACTCTCAGATGTAAAAATAGAATAGCAAATTAACATATATAAATCATTACTAAAAGAGAATGCTTTTCAAGAGTAAGCCTTGATTATGGAACTGAATCAGGGGTTTTTGACCACTTCAAGTTGTCAGCATTAAGTGCATCTGAAGGCACAGCACGACCTACGAGTGCTGTGGAGCATCTTTCTCTTGCTGTGGAGAAGCAGCAAGCATTACCAAGTGGTCCCTGCACAAGAGCAGAGAGTATGTTTAGGAACAGTTATTGGCATTACATTTTAACTTCTGTTTGTTATGTTTGGTTACAGTAATAAGACATTATGAGTGTTCCCTTGGATATGATTTTTTCCCCCAACAACTATAAAACAACTAAAACTGGCTCAGGACACATACTTAAATTTCCTCAAATCCTGATAAATGTTGGGATTTGCCCAAAATATCTTAATTTTTATCAAAATCAGGGTAGGTTGGGTGTATATCACCCTTTACCACAGATTAGTCCATTGCCCATTCAGATAAATTCCAGAGGAAGGATGCAGAAATATAGTTTTAAAAACACATTATCTTTGCAAAAGTGTCAACAGAAAAATTATAAAATTGTTATTGAAACATATTTTGTAAAATATTTGAAAATGTATAAATCTCAAAATATGACAAATATTCACCTGCTGTGAAACCTATCCAATTTCCATTCACCTTTTGAGTGTTGTACAGAAAAAATGTAAAATTTAGAAAGGTATTTGATGGTTCAAAAGGAACTACCAGTACAACCAAAAGGTGACTTTCTTATTAGGGAAGTGGTAAATTTTATCTTTGGTAAACAAACATTCAGTAAGCTTGCAAAGGTAAGGCTTGTCAGCTGTTCTCCAGGTGCAGCTCTTCAGTACATTCATTTATTGTAACTGAAGCTTAGTCACATTTAAATCTGAATCCTACAAGGATGCAAGGATTCACATAGATCAGCCTGCAATCCTGGGATGACATCCTGTATTCTTTATATGATGCTGGATAGGCAAGATACGAAACAAGATGGTTTACTCCTCGGGGACTTACTGTACTTCATAGTGTTAAAAAAAAAAACAAACAAAACCAAAACAAAGTAAAACCAAAAGCTTCATGGTTCTTGGCTGAAGCATAAAAATATGCCATACGACAACTGATAGCCTAGTCATAAAGTCTTTTGAAAACAAGGAATGAATAGCAATGTGTCATACATGTATATATAAGCAATGTGAAATGATACGTACCCACTTGCAGTCATTTTATTGTGTTATTTCCACAAATATAAATAGGTTTTTATTCACCACCTGGTCCTTTTATGTGACATGCTCTCTTTGTCTCATAAAAGCTTGTTATATGTGGGTGAAGAAACATTGAATATATTCCATATTCCCATTCTTTTATCAATAATATCCTGTTATCATTACACAATGATTTGAATTCTGTGACTTTAGCCACAAAGGAGAAATTCAATTAAACCAAAACTACAAAGGAAAAATCTCATTGCAATCCTCTGTGCAACTGGTGAACCCAGTAATTATATATAGCCACCTATTGTGCTAGCATAATAACATGTGAGGAAGGTTTAGTTAGACACATTTACACACATAAAAAGCAATATGGGCATAGAAAAAGTCAATTTTGCCAAAAGTATAGAATAGTCACACAGTAACAAATGAGAGCTGCATGAATCCTAGTTTACTTGGCTATAAATAAATCCAACACTTTCTTTCTCTCCATGGTAAAATAAAATAGGAGCACAGAAGCATAACAGTCTCCTTTGAGCAACCAGTCTCTTTCTGTTCAATTATAGTCATCAATCTGTTCCACCTAAAATATTTTCCTCCTTGAGAAACCAAAGAAATCAGTATTAGGATCCAAAACATGCTGTTGCAAAAATAATGTAAAAGAGGTCTTTCCTTTTAGTAAATGTATTTGTTCTGAAAGCCTGTATTTTCTACAATGCAAATTTTGTAATTCAGTAAAAAAAAAAAAAAGCTGCATTTATGCGGCACTTAGAATCAGAAAATCTTGAAGACCTTGGAAAGGAGAAGTGAGGGTTACCTTCATTTTACAGACAGAAAACTGCAACAAAAAGAGCTTAAAGCCATTTTTTTTCCAAAATCTGTCTTCTATGCATATTCCTTTTAGATGCCCAATTGCAAGCCTTTAAATCCTGATATTCAGAAGTGCTACACAGACAAAGCTTCAGTTGTATGAGTACCCTGTCTCTCAACAAAGACAGTGCCAAATCCTAGGAAATGCTTGCCTGTGCATAATCCCACAGTAAATTGGAGAGCAGAGAAGGAATAGAGTCAGGTCTCCTGCTTCCTGCTGCATGCTCCCACAAAACTTATCTAGGAGGTTGAAGGATCTTTCCATTACTTGAAATCTTTAGGTAAAGCCTAGATGTTGTCTCTAATATATACAAAAGCTATAGTTTCACTAACATCTCTGGGCTTGGTGTGAGGATCATTTCATAAAATCAGACAGCTTGTGTTACTTATACCATAGCACAGGATAACCATATTATATCTTCTGACCTAATAAAAGTCCTGTAAATCTATGACTATGAGAACACAAGATAATAAACTATAATGAATTATCTTGGAGAAAACACAACAAAGTTGTGATTAAGGCTTTTGCATCTTCATGAGATGTGATAGTAGCCACCAAATTGCACTGTTTCTTCCTTTACTCTGTGTGCCACTGAACCATCAATGCACATAAAGTAAAGCTGATTTGATTCAGCTAAATAGGAAAAAGTCCAAATCCTCTTCCTCATGTGGTAGTTCTGTACAGTCATCTACAGAGAGCAGTACACTGTCCACCTGCACATGTTTGAAGAATTATAGAGAATTATTTTAAAGATGAAAAATCAAGGTGCCAAAATAATATAATCTGTGGTGCAAAAATAGTTTCAGGGTAAATTTTCTGTGCTCAGAATCTCATAATAAATTTCAAGAACTGAATGAGCACAGAGACCAATCCTTTCAGTCACAGAGATGGTTCCAAAATAATATAAAATGTGCATTTGGAATCCAGGAAAGCACTATGGGGAGATTAAATATCCCATAAATATTCCAGCCTAACTTTAACAACCATATAAACTGTCCTAGTTTTGGGGAGAGGGAGGGAAGATTTTCAACTCAATTTCTTGTCCCTTTTTTTTTTTTGAGATGACCATCTTCAAAGTACAAAATAACTACAGTTTTTCCTGTTTGACTCTGTATAGCAAGTTTTTTTTCTTATTTCATAGCATTACTGTAGGGGATCATTTCTACTGCACTAAAAAAAATTTCATGATCACAGTCACTGAAATTTCCTCCAAGATGTAAGTATGAAGTATCCTTTAAAACATTAGCTAGCTGTTCTTACAGGAAGCATCACATCAGTTATTCACTTCATATTTTCTTTTAAGGTATTTCTTCAGATGCCAGATCTTGCAAATAATATTCGGTTTAAGATCTTTTGTTCAAAGTATAAAAGGTTAGCTTTACTATCCCCTCTTAAAGCCCACAGCACACTATTGCCTATAATTTTATCGACAAGCAACTCACCAGTTCAGAAATCTAAATCACATTTTTTTCATTCAGCTGCAGACAACGAAAGCCCTTTTTCCCCCTGGGGTGATATGCTAGTTTGATTTTATTTTCCCTGACATTTCACCTGTCAGATTATGATAAATAGAAGAAACAGAGAATAATCATCACATTCTCACTGCATCTCATAATCAAATATCTGGAAATATAAGATAAATCAGAAACATTATCCTGAAGGGAAAACATTAACACTGAAAACACCATCAGATATCCAAATCATCTTCCAGTGACCTAGGACTCCCACACATATTTAAAAAATTCAGAAAGGAAGACTGCATAGGACTGTCACATCCACTTTTTTTATCTTCAAATACTAGGGAATGACCTATAATGAAATAAGTAGAAAAAAAGAAAGTTGCAGAGTTAAGAAATTCTATCTAATAACAAAGCTGTGTGTCTTCTCTAAGTCTTTTCATCAATGTTTTCTGAAAGCAATCCTGAGGCCAAGAATCAGGATGAGTTATCATGAAATAGTATAAGCTCAAATTAACTAGTTGGCAAGGTGAAAAGATTAATGAGCCAGAACACACCAAACATGCTCCTGATTTACTGCATCTGTAGTTTGCATGTTCCAAATTTCTCTCGATCTCATGGTGCTGAGATTCATAAGTGATGAAAACTTACCTGCCTGGCCGGTGGTAATACTGACAGCTGCAAAAAGCCTCTGGGAACGACTCAAGTCAGAAACCCCATTCACAGCTTCAACTTCAAACGTGTAGTTAGCATGAGCTAGCAGGTCCATGACAGTGACATAGTTATCTACTAATCCAGTTTGCTGAGGCATATATCCAATGTTACTCCCACAGGGAACACACTCGCCCTGCTCCCAGCTGCACCTCTTGCACAAAATGCGGTAGGTCACATCACTTCTTCCCCCATTGTCAGCAGGAGGACTCCACTCCAAACTCACGGTAGTCTGGTTGATATTGAAAATTAGGTTCTGTGGTGCAGATGGAGGTCCTACATTATACACAAAAAAGTGTAGGGTAATTACACAAAACCACAGTGGGACATGTAGCCAGCATTTTAATTACTGAGACAGAAAACAGTTGAAGCATTTTTCTCCACATAAACATTTCATTATTTTTATTACAAGCTGCATAAAAGCTTCCTTGAACTCATTTGGTAAGAGCTTTATTTATTTTTCCATTAAGGCATCAGAATAGCAATTGTTTGTATATTTACTGCAACTGACTTTAGCCGTTTCTCCTCTGTGCAATTAAAAGGAATGGTTAATGTACATTGAAGGTTCTGTTTTACAGTTTTCCCAAATATGGGATTTGTTCATCTCTTCTAAACATACTGCACAAGCTGCATCTAGTCCTTTATCAGCTCTGATATGATTTACAGAGATATTTGGTGCTGTTTTGGATTTAGGAGACTTTCACTATTTAAAACACCAATCTGTGTAGGCCAGTCTATTTGCAGTTAGAAAGTTAAGTCAGATCCAACTACAGTTCAATCAAAGCACAGATCCACACAGGTTACTTTTCATTTTTCACATTACTAATTTTGGTATTGTATTACATAAAGCACACTGTCTACAACAATTTTATGGCCATGGGAAAACTGTGCCTATATTCTATCTATTACAATGAGTTACGCACTTACGCAACATGCAGTGTTTTCCAATGCTATATCAAGCAAACATGAAAATTATATTTATGCTGATTCCATATTCTCTGTCAACTTTTTCCTTCTGCTTTTCAATTTCATTTACTGCTGCAAAGGTACTTTTCAAACACAGGAAAAGCCAGACAAAACTACTTGCTGCAAGTGGCTGCACCTGGTTGGTTAAGCAATGTCCCTTACTATTAAATTCATGACTCACTCACTTGTGCATGCGACATATGGTGGATCAGAAGGTGCTCTATAATAGCTATCTTCACAGTCGCATCTTGAGGATCCTTCCTTGTCAGAGAAGCTGTGGGTAGGGCAGCGGGAGCACTGCAGATCTTGTGAGGAGGATTTGTAGAACCCACGGCCACAAGCTAAGGCAGAACAAAACAAATTAAGGTTTAGATTTGCATGGACCTCTATTCTGATCTTTTTTTGCTTCTATTACATGAGGTACACATTCCTGTAAACGTCTATCCTGCCCATTCTGTTATGTTGGCTCAAGCAAGACATTATGCTAACAATTTCTTTTTCTTCAGATGATGCTGTTAATGATTTTGTGGCATTTTTATGAGTTCAAGTATACACTACATATACCTCAACAACGGGCAGTACAATATTTTAAAACAGAGGGCCGCATAAATACAGCAAGCACCTGTTTTTCACCAAAGAAGAGTACAATAATGGAATGAAACACCTGGATGCCTGCAATAGGCCTAAACAAGGGAAACCCAGTCTTGAGACCTGATCTAAGGCCACTGAAGCATTTCTGGTATCTGAACTAGTTGTTTTGGAATTAATGGAGAAAAATTTTTTCTTCCCTGATCTGAGAAACCCAAATAAGTTGTAACCCACCAGCAAACCCTGATCCTTAGGAAAAGAATGAGGTGTGATCACTTGTTGGAAAGATGACTCTGGTAGGAACAAACAAAGAGGAGAGCAGACAGCGTAAACTGCACAATAGGTTTTTCCAGTTTCACAGAAACACACAAGTAGGTTGAAATTAATTTACTGAAACTTTCAAGAAGTAGATAAAAGGTAGACAATTGGAAATATTCATATAAGACGATTTCTTACTTTGGTAAGCCTGCTGGGAATCCATGAAAGTAAAAAATTGTGTTTTGTTCTAACACTGATGTTCAGAAATACTTCTTGCAGTTCCAAAGGCAGAAACACCCATAAAACACACCTACCATGATACTTACAAACAACCTGAGCACCACAACCTAGACAGCCCGGTTAAGCATGTATAAACTATGAGAGGGAAGTGGGGATCAGACAACTCTAAAACTGGAAACAGGTTAAGACTCAGTTTCAGCACTGAGGTTATGGACAAACTTATGAATACTGTCAACATGCAAAACAAAACATAAAAGTCCTCCAGAACTTTCTAATAAAGCAGAGGGTTTTTCAACCACACTATTTTATTCTTTTTTTTTCCAACCCCAACAGACAGTCTAACCTTCTTAAGCCACCACCTGTATGCAAAGAAAAGGGACAGCGGGTGAAACTTAGTACTGGGTATCAAAATATTAAAGCTAGTTAAATAGTCATTCTGAGTTCAGAGAGAAAGAATTTACTTTGATTATATTCATATTTGCTTGGATATTTTCTCAGAACAGAAATGCAAAGTATCAAAAGACACTGATATTTGGAACAGTTATTTCAGTTGTCTGGTACTGCAGTGATGGAAAGAGCATGAAAACAACGAGCTTCATCCAAATCTCACTAAGTCGATGAGGAGAACCTTTGACTTTCATAGCCTTTGGACTGGACCCATAGTGTAACTATAGCAATATGATTACTATTAACCTGATTAATGTTATGTAAGCAAAAAAAAAAAAAGGAGGCAATACTTAAGATAACAGTAGATTGAAGTTGATGAATTATGTAAATCAGTAGTGTATCACACCAGTATAAACCAATAGGAAATACTGGCTCTCTATTACTCTGTCTATTATTCTTTTTAAGGAAAAATATGCTTAAAGGACATAAATTGCCATAACATTTAGAGTTTGTTGTGCTGAAAAAAAAACAGCGGATGGAAGCTAAATTACCTGGCAGAGCAAATTAGCATGCAAAGCTTGTATCCTTTGACTTTGACAAAGGGGCACGAGTTTGCACTAGAAGAAAATCTAGTCCTTCTTGCAAAATATGCTGTAGTTTGATTCTACCACAGTAGCTATTATATATGCTACTTACAAAAGAAGTCAGAAAAAATTTTGGAGAAGCACTTCAGACAAACATGACCCATGAATTCATAGTTCTGGCAAATTCAACTCAGAATTACCCTTTTACACCTTTATTCAATATTGTTTCAGAATTTCCTGACAAAAGAGCACAAAAGCTGAACTGATTCGAATGCATGTACCTAAGACATATTTAAACTTCTGTCTGCTTTTTCAGTACTTGCAATTGAAATGTAGCTAAAATTACCAAAAACAGTTTCCTGCCTTTCTTAAATAGTCATGTTCCTCCCATACCAAAAAAACACTGGACAAATACACAGGATCTTCCAACACGTAGTTCCTCTGCAAAGCAAAGAGCAACTTAAAAGGCAAAGATCCCTACTGTTTTTCCAGTCTGTCCTTCTCAGCAGGGAACATTACACAGCAAAGATGCAGAGAGTAAGAGATTTCAGACAGAAATAACAAAACGTAAACAGAAAACTCCTTTTCGTTTTGTTTTTTTTTTTTCTGAAGACTTGATCGAGACATTTATATGCTTTGTCACTCACTATTTAAAGTAAGTGTGCATTTCTTACTACAGTTCAAAGGATGTGAATATCTGTGACTAGTTTACATGACTGAAAGCCAATTATTCTTCTGCACAGCTTACCACAGGCAGCAGTTTCAGGCATTCATACCATGCTACCATTCCATTAGCTTTTTGTCCACTAAGAGGCTTGTGACAACATTTAATAACCATTTCTTCAACTTATAAATCCCTGAGATATAAAGGGCAGAATATTCCAGCACTGAAATTTTTAACAGTATGAAAATAGCACTTTTAAAAAGGATTTTTAAAAACTTCAGAGTTCTTCAGAAAGAAGGCTACACAGGGCTATACACTATAATTAAAGGTATAATTGGAGGAATACAACTAAATTATTCTCCTATCTATCTTCATAAAACTAAATTTATCACAAAAAAATGGATTTTTCAGCCTAGCAGTGGAATTCTTCTATTGCTCGAAAATTGTGGACCTATGCATCCTTATCTTTTTTTGACATATATCATTGTCCTTGCAAAGAAATTTACAACTGAAAACTCTACCAAGACAGTGTTGCACAGACCACTTATGAAGGTGTGAGAACTCGACAGTGAGCTATACAGATCACAGATGGAAATTAATCCATTGAAAATACTGGTTTGACTCTTTTTTCCCCCCTCCTTTTTGTCCTATCTTTCCAAATTGCCATAGTGTATTTTTTTATATTACAAGTAATTTCAAAATATTGTTTCATTCTACACTATTTTAATTCCACATATTTTGATCCAATTTAGTTCTTCATGCAATATTTTTAAGATTACAGGGACAGGTGGTATAAAATCCCCACTCCTACTACCTCCATAAGAGACATTAAAAAATGCTAATTGTAAAAAACAAAAACAAAACCACACATATTAGCCAAACATCAATCAGAGCTCTGTAAATTCAAATCTAAAGGTATAAAAAGAGGTACAGTTACACAAAAGTATCTCATGGCAAAGCTTGAGGCAACTCGACATTTGATCACATACATTTTAATATTCCCCTTCATTAGTGCAGTACTCCTTCCCTATAAAAGGGAATCAAGGCACAGAACTCAAGCAATGATAGAAGATACACAGAAGGGTATAACTGGTGAGGCAGCACACTGATGTTGTAGCTCTAATCCTCATTATTGTTGATCTGAGTAAAATGTGAACTCATTTGATGTTCCTCAGGCAAGTTAAGATCCAGGAGTAGTTTAGCAACTGAAGGACTTCTAGGGTACTGGAAAGGACAAGGCAGGAGTGGGGAGAAAGGGAAGAAAGCCAGCACAAAATACGATTTCCTTCCATTCAATGTCTTGTGTCATTTACAGTTGCTAATTTAAAAGAACAGCTCTTCCCAGATAAAGCTCCCATTTTGTTCAAACAGCTGCTCCAAAGTCTTACATGTTACTGACAGCACAAAGACAGAACAGCACCTACAGCCTGACCTCAAGCAGTCTTCAAACAACACAAGAATTAGTTTTTAATTCTTTCCCCATATACTACAAAATCAATAAATAATGGAGAAAGTTTTGCTTCAGCCAAGGCACAATTCTTTGCTTAATATCTTAGCCTTACAATCATTAGGGACTGTCCATTAGTGACCCTCTCAGGGCTGACCAGCACCTTGGATTTGTTCACTTTTCTGCAATAGCCATGGCTGCTCCTCAGAGCAAATCTTCCCACATCCACTGTAAAGAAAAGAGATTTCTCTTGTTGGGAAGCTGGCAGAGTTCCACTGTGAAATACAAAGCTCATACGAACAAACTCTCTTGGATGAGAGAGCTTCCTTATGCCATGGAGCTGCAGGTTGAAACTGAGCAGGGCATTGCTGCTTCATAATTAAACTTTCTTGCCTGGAAGCCCTAAATAAAGTGGTACACTCTCCTGGTTGTATGCCATGAAAGACCCTGGTGAAGATCATACTAGCAGTCCTTCTTGGCTTGGACTAAGTTGCTTTCTTCTTGTACATCCAGTAGCACTCAGTCGTAACAAGGACGTGTGGGTGACAATAGAGCCTGACACATGGCTGGGCAGCTGCAGCATGAGTGCACGGTACCCACTTGAGTACATGTCTTAGCATATGCCATTGCAGTCTGTGCATTCACAAACATTTTTAGCCAGTATGTCTGGTATCCTTTAGGGTCTACACAAATACTGTAAATAACGGAATTTGCAAAGCCAAAAGTAAGTACTGAGGAATTAACACACTTGTGGCACAAGAAGGCACAAGCTGCTGACTTCAGCTTATGGAGAAAAATAGCAGCTCCTCTGCTGTGAGCTCATCCCATGCTTTAGTGGCCTGGTAGAGACCAAGTAATGTATGTTTTTATTTTCATATTTATAAAAAAAAAATTCAAAGAACCTCTGGAGAAGAGAATTAAGGCAGATGTAGAGAGCAACAAACAGCAGTCTGGAGTCCCACTTGTCGGACAGGAAAAATGGGACGTGGTAAGTACTGTTCGTTTTTATGTCACTATAAACACTATGGGACTCCTTTTGCATCTAGAAAAACTAGGGAACTTAAATTGGGAGTGATGATGGAAATATGGTGAGGGGTATGAGTGACATATGTAACAAGGGATGTTTATATAACCAAAGGAGAAAGAATAAACAGTTATAGGGCAGTGATGCAT